ACGTTTTGCCGGCCTCGTAGTCGGCATCATCAGTGAGCCTTGCCATTCTCCGCACCAAGATACGAACTCGGTCGGATGCGGGAAATCATGACAACTACTATTGCAGACGACTTCAGACTCGGTGCGTTCTACATAGTCTTCCTGAACACAAGACCAAGTTGCGACAACGAGGTCAACCCACTTCTAATATCGTTTAAATCTATTATAAGTCTTTTTCCCTTCAACTTTCTTTATGAGGTATTTAAGTATGCACTGAAAGCGTTCAGTGAATCTTGTTCCAAGAATAGGAACATTAGTTACATTAAGGTATGAAAGCCAGGATTATGTGGCCGTTTGTGCGGTAGCGGTCTCCTTTCGTTGTATAAAAATTGTTTGACCTTGGTTTCACAACTTGGTCATATTGGCAGAAGACCAAGAGAAACGCACCTTGTCCTGAGTCCATAGTATGCATATTAATTTACAGAGTCGGATCGTGAACTTGGAACATTCCAACACGTTTCGCCAGCATCGTTGTCGGCAGCATCATTAAGTCTTGCCAGTCTCAGCAACCAAGTTAAAACTCATAAAAGAGGTAATTTAAATCAATATTGTGGTATGACTCTCCATTTCGAAGGGAAAGTTGGCTGGAAGGAATTCGTGATGTGGTCTCACCGGAAACTGAAGGAGGATTGCCGAGTAGGGAAAACTGTTTAATTGTGCGAAGAAGTCCTCAGCTCACCATCCTGCGACCCCAATGAAACTGTGCTAATCATTCGTCTATTCTATGAAAGACATCATCCAAGTGAGATTTAATACTTTATGAAATATAGGAAAAATAGACTAAACCAAGAGAAAAGGTGGTGGGCTAGAAACCTAGTCCCTATACACCTAACATCACGATCTTAATGATACCTCCCATGTTTCGGTTGCTTAATTCAACCGTACTCTACGTGCTTGCAAATGAGTAAGGTTAACTTTCTGAACCAGAAGTGCATTCGCTGGCAGCAGCTTCATTAAACGAAAAACTACAGTACTATCGCCTAATGTTGAATCATGTTTGGGCTCGTGCTATTGCCTATTGTGTTTATGTAATGCCCTCTCCAGCCTCAATTGGCCCCCTTTAATGCTGTCGATGCATTCCGAGAGCTTCCACCAGCATACAATCGAATTGGTCTGCGCCTTAACTTCCCACCCCTTGGAGCCGGATTTTGACGCGGCCGAGATGATCATCGAGGCTGAGGTCGAGTGCCATCTTCCTAAAGTCAAGATGATCCTCAAGCAACTGGTACCCATTTCGAGTCTACAACAGGCCGCCTCTGAGTGTCAGAAGGGTCATGCCTACAAAGAACCTGGACCAGACGATGATGAGGCCGGGTTAAGTGAAGCGAATTCAATTAGCAGGAACCCGCAAGCCTTGACTTGCTCGAAGTTTGCCTCGTCCGGCAACAAAAGCAAAGCCTTTCATCTGGAACAAGGCCTGACCCCGGGGTCGGGACAATGCCAAGACCCTAGGCAACAGGGCCCGTCATGTCTGCCGGCGTCAAACCCGCAAGTGGAGGATACCAACGAATTTCGGAAATCCTACAGACAGAAGGATCCTTTGGAAGAAAGCCTAACAGAAGGCCCGGAACTGGAGAAAGCTGGGTCAGACGACATGTTGTTTGACGAGGACTGGGTGGGGGTAATGAATACTTCCGAATTCGATTTAACCATCTCATCTCAAAGCCTTTTACTTGAAGACAAAGGCGGTAACGACAAACTAGAGTGGATCAAATCCTCCAAAACGCATTCAGAGAATGCAAATTCTGGCTGTCTCTATTCTGTTCAGGTGGGCCAAATCTCTCTGCTCTCAGCTGAACTCCATCAGTCACGTGAAGACCCCGAGAGCCAGGGAATACCGCAAAATATGCCCGCTATTTTACAACATCATGGCGGTAGAGAGTCAACTGGGGAAAGCAGGACCACGTGGAATACAAGAAGAATGTCATCTCATCCCATCGAGACGACTCAACTAAATCCTGAACGAAATTTCACTTTTGACACAAAACAAAGCTTCAGCAATCCTTTAATTGATGCACCAAATCGTCCTGAGCAGGTTCAATTCAGCATAAACAACTGCCCTCCCCCCGGAACCCCATCACAACTGGGGGAGCAGCGAAATTGTCAACGAGTGGAAGTCAGCGAAGATGCTCCTAACTTTCAGAGTCCAGAGGACCATCGAGAAGCCACCAAATTCAACCAGCCCTATAACCGCGAGACTTCGGGCGTCCAGTCGCAGCAGACGACACCTGTAGTTGGGACGACGATGATGTTCTCACGGTCTAGACGGACCCAGGTTCCGGATAAATATTCTAGCAAAACAAGCAAATTTTCCACGAGTTGTGAGGATAATTTAACATTTCAATCTTCTAAGGGGTATTTAAGCTATCCGAATCAGGTTAATTGTATACCCGTCAGAGTCAAAAATGAAAACAGTATCGACAGACTTCAAATGCAAGCAGAGTAAGTTCTGTAGAAATCTTATTCAATGCATTGATGAAGATTGGTTTTTTGTAGCGTTCCTTTTTATACACACAATACATCAAGATACTATTTTGATATAGCTCTTTATTTTGTAAAAGGATGACAATTTAAGGTTAAGGTTAGAACTCGATAAAAATAAAAGTGACAGAAAAGTTTGACTATATTTTACTGTCATAAGTAGGGTCTCGAGACTATTAGTAAATACATT